CGTGAAAGGGAATGGAAGCTGACTCAAGTTTTCTTTGGCAACTTGTACTCCCCGATCCTCCAAACTATTTACTCTCCAAGCTGTTGGTCATAAACGTCCAAAAACAGACTCTATGGAATGGGATACAGGGTTATTACAACACCAGTTCCAATCTGGCCCCAGTTTAGGAAGGCTGGCTGGCTTGCTTGTGGGTGGTTGAGGTAAATGAATTACAGAGCCTTTCACTTTTAGGTTGATATTGGTTCCAATCCAGTTCCAGGTGAGCCGGGGGGATCTCCACCATAACAACGTTTTTCATACGTCATTGGAGCCATCCACTCAGCAATTTTGGCTCCCATAAGGACCAAACAGTTCTTTCATCCAGCGTCCAAGCCATCCGCTGCTGCAAAGCTGGCCGCCCCGGGGGAGATCTGAAACAAGCCTACCAGGTTTTGCAAGATAATAAACGAGCCTGAATATTCTACTTGTGGAGTTGTGTTGGGAGACCCGTGAAGCACAGGCACCTTTGAATGCTTCTTACTGAATTTCCTGCAGCAGCATAGCACCTTTGTGAACACTGCCATTCAGCTGATCAAACATTTTTCCTTAGTGATTATAGCAGATGTGACACAGGCTGATGCTCAAAGAGCTCGGCAAAGAATAGGGCACCCCTTTCCTTAGCCAGGTCATGAGGTTTGGCAGACCTCATTCTGTACTGCCATCAGCTTTTCTAGTCAAGTCCTTTATTCCTTGCATCAAGCCAGTTTTAGTCTTTACATTTTTGCAGGTAGTGCCATGTTCCCGCAAGCTGCACAGTCATGGTCCCCTACATCTACATGAACCCCTGCTCCCTACATGGAGTCACTGTTTGGAGGGAGGGATAGCTCAGTGGTTTGAGCATTGGCCTGCTAAACCCAGGGTTGTGAGCTCAATCCTTGAGGGGGCCATTTAGGGATCTGGGGCAAAATCAGAACTTGGTCCTGCTAGTGACGGCAGGGGGCTGGACTTGATGACCTTTCAAGGTCCCTTCCAGTTCTATGAGATAGGTATATCTCCATATGTTATCATTCTCTGTAAAGCAACAAGTTTCACATCCTTCATTATTACTCCTCCACACTGCATACTTATCTGATAGTTAAACTAGCCATTGAGATAGTTAAATACAGCAGGATCTCCCTAATCTGCACACCCATTTCCCACAGAGAGTATGTCAACACTACCCACATGCGCAGCCACAGCCGCACTGTGATGTGGGCAGCATAGACACGCTTTATTGCCAGGGAGAGCTCTCACGGCAATAAAAAAAACCCACCCCAAACGAGCGGTGGTAGCTTTACCTGAACGACAAAAGTTTTAGCGCTGAAAGTGGCAGTGTAGACACAGCCTAAATCACAACAGTTTCTCCCCACCCCTTCATAGGAAAGATTTAAGATCAGAGCATTGCAGTTAGGATGACCAGACAGCAAGTGTGAAAAATCGGGACAGGGGGTGGGGGGTAATAGGAGCCTGTATAAGAAAAAGACCCAAAAATCGGGACTGTCCCTATAAAATCGGGACATCTGGTCACCCTAATTGCAGTGAGGCCCTCAAATTTCATTTTCACTACTTCCATAAAATATGCTAAAGAACATTTACTAGTAGTTTATAAAGTGTAGTGAAACCTCAACTCTCCAAAAGTTTCAGGTATCCCTCACTGGAGTGGAGAGCAGTAGGAAATTATGCAATTATGTGCAAACTTGAAATATGGCACCCAAGAATCAGACAACAGTATTGTGCGTTCTTTGTTAACATAATCGTAAGTCATTTTCTTTACAGATGTTACTCATAATACTTTAGATCCTCAGAAAGAATTTTTAAAACCTAACCAGCATGGCACTTTGATATTTACATTTCTGTCAGGGAGGGCAATGATAATCAATTAAACCAGTTTCACTTTCAGGTTATTAAGTGGTGCAAAATTTTAGTTTTCAAACACTAAAGGGAATGTCTATTAGTTTAAAAAATGCTTTCTTTGAAGTCTTAAAATGAGAAACTTGTCTATTGTTTTTTCAGTTTTATAAAAGCTTTCTTTTGAAAAAAATATATTTGGATCCAAATTTAAATTCACAATACCTGATCTACATACATCAAGATGGCAGCTTCTTGCTGGTTAATTTTTATTATTAAATTAAAAGCATTTATGCATTGTAATGATTTGTCCTTG